CGAGTGAAGCGGTGGCACACCTGTTGGGACGAACGTGCGCGGCGTTGAGGCGAGAGCCACATGCTGAGGATGAATGGTCTTCCACCCGCAAGGCTGTTGCAAGATTTCAGGACGAATGTGCGCGAATGTGCACGACGTTCCTAGGCCAGAGACGCATTTTGACCCCCCTCCATCCGTGAAGCTGTTACACATTTCAAGCTTCAGGATCGTACAAGGCGGGGACGTCTCATGCGAAACGCCTGGCCCTACCAACACATGTGGGGGTGCGACAGGGGGGAGATTCGATATCGCTTCCGACCCGCTCGATCTGATCTGATTTCGAGGTTGCCCGAGGTTTGCATTGCGCTGTTGTGCATCCTGGTGCAGCCGATTCGATTCGACCTCGATTCCGCGCCGCTGCAACCTGATCCGACTCGGGATGATCCAGCGCCCGTTCGGACACGATCCGATTTCCCGAGCCGATTCTGATTGATCCTAGGACGAGGCGGAGGATGAGGAGATGATGATCCAGAGAAGGAGGATTTCCAAGGATTTCCAAGGATTTCAGCCACCAGGTAGCGATTATAGACGAGGCAGAGGAGGCAGAGGAGGAGGAGGAGGATGAGAAAGAGGTAGGAGTGGAAAAGGAGTAGGAACGATGAGGAGGGAGAAGGAGGGAGGAGGAGAAGAAGAGGAGGAGACGGAGGCGTGAAAGGAGGGATGAGGAGGAAGAGGAGGAGGAGGAGGGGGAGGAGGATTGGAGCGGATTGAAGCGGGATGAACGGTCACCAAACCGCATGCGACTTGCCTGACCGAGACCACGCACAGACATTCGAGCCGTCCCCGAATTGGACTATGCACGGTGGTGGCTGGAAACGATTCCGCATGCCGCTACTGCCTTGTCGCACGAGCTGACCCCAACACTTATTAGTCGAGATGTGTCTCGCCCGATCCCCAAACGCTTGAGCAGCAACAGCGATGCTGCCACTGCCACCCCTCTGCAGCCACTCTCTGCTCTCCACTACGTGCCCGTGCTCGTCAGGCGCACTCGTGGCCGCGAAGTGGCTGGCGTCGTTGCGCTCGCTGCCTCCCTCCACTCCCGCTGCCACTGCCCCTGCCCTTCCCGCGCGCCTCGTCATCCTCGCGCGGCCTGCCCCCAGCGGTGCAGCCGTGAGGCTGCTTGTGGCGCGGATGGTGCCAGCTTTGCCCCCCGCTCCTCGCAGAGCAGTGTCTCACCACCCACCAAACCATCCCAACCCAACCCGAGGGCCTCAATTCGCCCTCCATTTCCAGTAGGGGGGGGGGGGGCTGGGGCGGCGAGGAACACTGACGACACACATGGAAGCCGCAACCCCTCCCGACGCGAAACTCGGGTCACACCCGGGTCTTCGGGTTGGGTTGGGGTGGTCTGGTAGGCAGCCAGGTGGCGCAGCCGCCCCCGCCGCTCGCCCGCCCTCTCCCGCTCGCCCCGGGCCCCGCGCTGCAGCTGCCGGCGTCGGGCTCGAGCCTCGCCCTCGCGCTCGCGCTGGGGGGGAAGAGCGGCCGAGCCGGCGGCCGCCGCACGCCCTGCCTGCGCACGCCGTGCCGCTGCGGAAGGCGGCCACTGGGGCGGGGGCAGGCTGCCCAGTGCCTCCCAGCTGTCTCAGCATCCCGAACACACGTGTCGACATGCTGGAAGCACGTGCTGCAATACGCCAGAACACGCTGAGCAGCACAGCTGCAACTCCAGGGTCGGGCTGCTGAGGTTTGCCACCGTCCTGGCGTCCTCGGCCGTGCCCGGCCCTGGTGCTGACAGGCTCGATCTCCAGCGCTTCGCCTCCCGCTTCTGGCAGCGTATAGCTCGGCCGTCGCGCGCGCCCCCCTGGCCCCAGCGGTGCAGCGGAGGGTATCGGACCGTCTAGTTTTGCCTCCACCTATCATAGGTTACCAGTTTGAAACATATCCCTATCCGTTTGTTTGACATCACCTCACCTCGATGCCGATCTTAAGGATTTCCTCAGTTTCTGACCGCCTATCCCTGAGATTGTCCTCGCTTTTTGCTTGCCCATCATAGGGGTAGGGACAAGTTCGAGGCTGGTTAACTGGGCAGCGACAGAGCCTGCTGACCCTGCTGGCCCTCCTCGCACACGCCGTACCCAGCGATGCTGCCGATGCGCTCGGGCTCCAGCTCTGCCTCCTGCTTCTCGCAGGACGCTGCCGGGGTCCCCTGCCACTGCTCGCCCCTCTCGCCCGCCCGCCCTGATGCCAGCGCTGTAGCTGATGACATTGGGCTCCAGATTCGTCTTCTACAATTTCATAGCTGAGGATGTGTGTTCGCTCCGTTTGTGGGTCCCGCACGAACAGATCCCAGCGCTGCAGCTTGCGATGTTGGCTCGCTCCTTCTCGCATGGCTCGCTTGAACGGGTCCACGCGTTGCACCTGAGGACGTATGCCTGCTCGCTCGGTTCCGCACTTTTTGCACGACCTGATACCAGCGTGGCAGGCCCAGAGGTTGACACCAACACCAATATCGACTGTGTGCCTCCAGCGAAGGAAGAAGATCCCGATCTCGGTGATGGTGGTAATCTTCTGGCTTCCAAGGTGACCGACATCTTACCACCAACACCGAATTCTAGGATCAGCTCCCCCCTGTAGAGGCAGCCCCCTGTGTTGGTGTTGGTGCCCATTTCCAGGCCTCCAACAGCGTGGGAGCTGTGGAGCCGTCCAAGCACCGTCGGTGAAAATGCTCGGGAACCCGGTCTTGTACTGCTTTGCGCGTGCCGACAGGTTCGGGGTGATCGGCAGGAGTGCCCGGGTGGCTGTCCAGAGCTCGGCGTGGTAGGTGCGTGGGCCGTCCAAATCTTGATTGCGGGAGGGGGGCGGGGAAGAGGAGCGATGGGAGACGAGGGGGGACGCGACGGGGACACCCTGCGCACGCGGTTCGGTGGGGCACCACCGCTCTTTTTGAGGACTCATGACAGCACTGCCACTTCTAAGTTGGCTGCTGAAAATTCGGGACCCCCCTACCTGTGGGGAATGGCTGAGAAAGAGCAAGAGGAGGAGGAAGATAATCAGGATGAGGCGGAGGAGGAGAAACCGAAACCAGAGAAGGAGGATGAGGATGAGGATGAGGACGAGGATTCAGCGACGAAGAGGACGGCGGATAATCTGCCAATCAGAAGAGCGCACCACGGTGCGGATGAGGGCCGACAGGACGCTGGGCGTCAAGCTGCTCCCTCAGAACTGCTGCACGAGAGGGACTCGCAGAGGAAGAACTCCATCCTCGCCACCTGCGGCAGCACTCGGGTGCCTGCCGCACGCTGCGAGGACGATGAATGATCTCCCGTAGGCGCCCGAGGTCCGCTTTCCTCCGCCTCGCCGTCGGGGGCTTCGTCCGCGGTGGCGACGCCGATGCTGGGGACGAAGGGAGAGGCTCCGAAGCGGTGGGGCATGCGCTTGGGCAAGGCGGCGTCGCCCACTTCCATGGCGCGGGCCACATCCGCCGTGGAGTCCAGGCGCAAGTCGGGTGCATCAGGGTGGTGAAAAGCAGCCTGAGGACCAGCTGCGCCCCGAGAAGGCGCTTCCGACGCGCTGTCACCTGCGAAACTATCGTCCGTCTCCGCGTGGGGCCCGTCGTCTCCGCCGAAAGCCGCTCGCACGGTCGCCACCACGACCGTCAGGATGATCTCGTCGTCGTCGCCGAGGGACAGCATGCTCGACGAATGGCACGATGAGGCTGGCCCGCTCAGCGTGCCCGTACTCCCCGCGCAGCGTGTGGCCTCCCAGGTCGTGCGACTGCTCCGCCACCTTCCCGTCTTCGTCCTCGGGCACGTCGGTCGTGTGGGAGCGAGCACGGGTCGTGCTCGCCCTTCTGCGGCGCGGCCCAGTCGTCGTGGGGACGAAGGCCAGCACCAGCAGCATCACGAGGAAGTGCACCAGCATCTGGACGAGCATCGGCGTCGTCGCCGGCGCACGGAACACTACCAGGACAAGGAAGGTCCTCGCCAGGATGGGGTCGGTGGCCAGCGGCAGCCTGATGGGGTGCGCCAGCGGGGAGGGGCGAGGCGTCCATTCGCTGGGCCTCCACGTCCAGTTGCACGCCGACAATCGGCGCGGTGTCGCACGAGGTGGGCTCAGCGCCGCTCCTGCCGAGCCGGGGGCCTGCAGAGGCCCGCCGGGCGTGCCGCGCGGCGTTCCGGCGGTGGCGGCGGGGGCCAGGGACAGCGCGCTCTTGGGCAAGCAGCACCCGCGCCGGCCCCGCCGCTCGCTCGCGGTACCTCCAGGAGCCAGGCTCGCCGTGAGCTTGCGCGAGGGGCCGGACGGCAGCCTCGCAGGCGGCTCGGCGCCGCTGTCTCGCCGCACGACGGGCGGCAGCGGCGCCAAGCGCGGCGATGTCGCGCCACTTGGACTCCGAAGGCCGCTACGCTCTCGGGCCGCCCCCCGTCGCCACTCCCGTTGAGCCCAAAGGCCCGCTCCCCCCTCCCTCACGCCAGCCGCGTTGCCCTGTGAATCTGGGTTCGCACTGTACGCCGAGGAAGAGTCCAGGAGCGGGGGGCCGACGGACAAATCATAGCAAACGTGGCTACGGAAAGAGGGACGGCGGAGGAGGAGGATGAGGATGAGGAGGATGAGGAGGAGGGACGGTGATGATGATGGTGATGATGATGATGCTGATGATGACGATGATGATGATGATGATGATGATGATGATGATGATGATGATGATGATGATGATTATGATTATGATGATGATGATGATGATGATGATGATGATGATGATGATTATGATTATGATGATGATGATGATGATGATGATGATGATGATGATGATGATGATGATGATGATGATGGTGATGATGATGATGATGATGGTGATGATTATGACGCTGATGATGATAATGAGGAGGAAGAGGAGGATGAGGAGGCTGAACAGAAGGAGGAGCATGAGGAGGAGCAGCCATAGGAGGGATGCAGAGAAGGAAGAGGAGGAGGAGGAGGAGGGGGAGGAGGAGGAGGAGGAGGAGGAGGAGGAGGCGGCGGAGGCGGCGGCGCCCCCGCGCCGACGAGGCGCGCGCGCCGAGCGCGGACCACGGCGGCCTGGGCGGCCCTTCGCGGAGGCTGGCCGGGGCCACGACGACCCCTGGCGGCGATGACGCCGACGCCGACCGCGGAGTGCGGCCGCCTGTCCCCGTGCCCTCGCTCTCTTCGGTGCCCCCCTTGCGCCCCGCATCTGCCGCGTGGCCAGAGACTTGGTCACTGGACAAGGGGTCTTGCCTTGCTCTGTCGCGGGTGCGGCAGCTGCGCCATTGGAAGACACCCCAGAGACCTTTTAGCAGGTTGCCGCGTTCATACAGGAAGAAGAAGCAGGCGCAGATGTTTCGCAACGTTAGGGCTTGTCCCTCTACAGGAGGAGTGTTTGAACATACTCAAACTATAGTGTGGGGCCTTTTTTGTTTTGGATTTTTTTGAGTATTTTCTGATAATGTTCAAAGTTTATGATAGTTTCGCCCAAAATCCGCCCGCAGGGGGACACGCCCGACCTAACCGCAACGGGGGACTTCCCTGGCCCCGCGCCCCTCTCGGCAGGATGTCGCCTCTCCTGGGCCCCGGGAGCTCGCGCGGCGGACCTGCGGGGGTCCGCTGTGTTTTGAGACGGGGCTGCCGAGGCTCCGGCGCCCACCCCCCCCTGTTGTACACGCCGGTCGTTGAAAGTATGTATTTTTGGATGCCCAAATCCTAATCTACTTTAGGCGCCTTCCTACTTCAAGATTCGAGCGGTCTTTCTTTTTTCCTCCTCTTCAGGGTGCGGGCGGAAGTCCAATCTAATACTTCCAACGCCTTCCCACATCATGTTTCTACCCACTTCTTCCGACCGGCGTGTAAGCCATCTATCGCAGGACAGCCCGTCTACGTGCCTGGGCGCTTCAGTCCCGCTCGTGTGCACGGCACTCGAGGCAGCCCAGTGGCTTCACGACGGCGTCGCCGAGCTCGTCCTCGTGCTGCCGTGGCCGCTCCCCCTCTCCCTCCCCCCCCCCAGAGGGAGGCCCACGTCGAAACGCGAGGGTGGGTCAAGCGAGGGGGGGGGCCTCACTTTAGCCGAGGCTGCCGCCCCGAATTCTCTGGCCCGGGCCCGCAGCGTGCGGTATCGGCCCCCTGCGCTCTGTGGTGTCCCAGTCGAAGGGTGGTTGGAGCTGGGGGCTGCAGCTGGAGAAGGCGGGGTACTGCAGGAGGGAAGGACAGGAGGGAGGAGGAGGAGATCCTCCTCCGTTGCCGCGTGAGGCCACCGCCGAGCAGCAGGAGTTCCCCGCTCCGCCGCCCACCCCCGCCGTGCTGCGCGCACTCCTCCCCGGCCTCCTCGCTCTTTACGTGCTCCGCGGTCACTGGAAGGGGGGAACCTCGCAGCTGCTCAGATCCCAGTCTGCTGCAGGTGCCCTCCTACTTTCAGGGGCGAGCGGTCTTCCCTCGTCCCTCAACTTCAGGAAGCGGGCGGAAGCCCAATCTGCTTTCAATGCTTTCCTGCTTCATGTTACGACCCACACCTTCCGACCGATGGATAAACAGCTCATGCGCCGGAGTACCCTGACCTTCCCCCCGCTCTCGCCACGGAAGGGGTCTATCACCTTCTCCCGTCCCCTTTTGTGATTGACGGGGCTGCTTTTGCAACATCCCTTCGCCACACCACCCCTTACCGTCACAGAGGGGATGATGTTGACCCGCCCTCCGTGACAACGGGGGGGGCCAGAGGCAGCAAGTCATTATGTCTCGGCTAATTGAATACTTCGGCTCTGACGATCTGGCCGCAGCGCCCACGAAGTAAAACAGCGCATCAACATCAGCGCGGCAAAAGCGTCATCCGAAAGGACGTATAGAGGCTAACGGCGTTCTCGCCTGCCTTCTTCTGCTCCCTTGTCCTGTCATTGTTTTCCCTCTTTCCAACCCCCGTCTATCCCGACGGAGCTCACGCGTATAAGGCGAACGAGATTAGCCGCACAAGCGGCCACATCGTTCCGCCGTTTCGCGACGCTCTCCAGGCCTGCAGGGTCGCGTTGATTGCACAGAGCCCAGCGGCGGGGGGGAATTGCTCGGCGTCCCTGGACCTCCCCCTGTGGCCTCTTCTCGATCGGAGGTCCGCGCGGATAACTGTCTTGGGTCGGCGTTGGACCCGCTCCTTGGCGCGCGGAGCGCCGATCAGAGGGATCCGCGCGAAGCGTAGAAAACGTACGTTCCTGTGCAAGTATGTTCTTCTTCGATGCCCCTCCTCTGATCGTCCTCGACCTCCCTCTTTGGCCCCTTCTCGATCGGAGGTCCGCGCAGATCTCTTGGGTCGGCGCTGGACCCCCCCCCCCCTGCGGCTCCTCTGGCGTTGCCCCTGGCGCGCCGCTGCCCCTGGCGCGCCGCCCCTGGCGCGCCCTGCGTGGTCTGGGAGGGGGGATCCAGCGCCGACCCAGGAGGTCCGCTCGGGTCCTGTGGAAGCTGCAGACTGTGCAGGTTATTCTCTTTTGTTCCTGTGCACTCTGGACTGACCCCCTTGCAGTTCTTGAGCAAGGACTCGCCTGGTCACACGTCCCACACCATGCGCCGTCTTGGCAGTGCAAGCGTCCTGCTCGAATGTGTTCCCCTGGCTGGCACCCGGGATGCAGGCGTATGCTTAGGCTGAGTAGGGCCGAGGGTCAGAGTGCGCCTTCCTCTGCAGGACCATCAAACAAGGGACGTCAAGGTGGTCAAACGCCTAACTGGTTAAGACGACGAACATGTGCAAGCTATGACGGGTGATGCAACGCACTGTCAGTCAATGCAGCGCAGTGCCAGGCAATGCAACATATGACGCACATCCACGCAACGCAATGCCAAGTAAAGCCAAGCACATGCAACGCAGCGCATTGCAATGTCCAGCAATACCCCCATCTATGCTGAGGAACGGTTCTTAGCACTGCCAGGCAACGCCAGCAATGCCAATCACTGCGACGCCAGTGCCACGCAATGCCAAGCAATGCAAACCAATGCTGCGCAGTGTCGAACAAAGCCAAACACTTAGAAGCATTGCCAGTACATAATTACCAATCCACGATTGCAAGCCACGATTCCAAATCAGTACACCAGTACCAACCCACGCCAAGCAATGCCAAACGCTGCTAACCAATGTAGGCAATGCAACGCAATGCCAGGCAATGTCAGGCAATGCGCAGCACTGCAGGGCAATGCATCAAACCGCAGGGACATGCAAAACAAGCAAACCAATGGCAAGCAATGCAGCGTACGCAATGCAATGCAAAGCATCGCAACGTGATGCTAAGCAGTGCCAAGCAATGCCAAGCAACGATTCGAAGCAACGCGAAGCAGTGTCAGCGAATTCCAAGCAGTGCGAAGCGCGATGCGATGCCGAGCAATGCCCAGCAATGCCACACAATGCCAAGGCACACCAGGCACCGGTTCCAAGCAGTACCAACCAACGTCAAGCACTGGCAAACTACGCAAACAACTTCTGAGCACCACCAAGCAATACCAGGCATTGCTCGGCATTGTATTGCTTTGCATTGCCCATGTCTACGTCGAATCGCTCTGAAAGAATTTCAAGCCCCGTAGTTGGAGTCGCACTGGGCTAACTTGTTTATTGAACGTTTGCGAGTGTGTAAACACGATGGTGTTTCTGGGCTGTATTTCCTCTGCTCGCACGCAGTTCTCACCGCAGCCTGGCTTCCATCCTCAACGCGTTCATCCTCGACGAAGGGGTGGGGGAGGACGTGGCGAGGCCCGAACGGGAGTCTGGACTTCACGCAGGGCGAAGCCTCACTTGCACGCCTGTTCGGCCCAGTGCTGCTTGAAGAGGCGGCGGAGAGGGGGGGATGGGTGCGGGTCTTAGCGAAGTGCCCTGGAACTTGCAAATGCGCAGTCCATTCCGCTATCAGCGCTATTTTACATGATGACTAGTTTCATTGATCTGTTGCTGTGCGACAAGGGATGCATGAGATGGGTGCGCCTCGCTGACGCCAACACGTTTCCATCGCACATGCCATCATTCTTCCTCCGACACCGCATCCTCGTCATTCGCATTCCGCCGCTATCGTCTCATATCCTCTTCGGCGGAGGGCTAGGCATGCAGAATTTCTGCGAATGAGCCGGGCGAGGAGGAGGAGGAGGAGGAGACTCCCCCCACGCATCCTCATCAATCCGTCCCCCCATCATCAGCACACCTACTCCTCGTCGTGACAGGGAACGAAGGAAGGGCGAGTACGAAGAAGGGAACTGGGGGGTAGACGGCGGTGATTATGACTCGAGGACGGCTATGAGGATGATGGGAATCAGAAGGGAGGTATCAGGAACATGGTGAACTTGATCAAGTAGTGAATGTGCAAGATGAGAGGTCCGAATTGATGACGTTCTCCTTCTCCCCCATCGTCGACATACCTGCCTATTCGGGAAAAGGGAAGGGCGCGTTTGCGATACTATCTGGAGCGAGCACGAATCGAAGGGAGGAGGCTGATGATGGTGATGGTGACGATGATGATGCTGATGATGAAGAGTATGAGGATGATGATGATGATGATGATGATGATGATGATGATGATGATGATGATGATGATGATGATGATGATGATGAAGATGATGCTGATGATGATGCTGATGATGATGATGCTGATGATGATGATGATGAGGAGGAGGATGATGATGATGGTGATGCTGATGATGATGATGATGATGATGATGATGATGATGATGATGATGATGATGATGATGATGATGATGATGGTGGTTGTGGTGATAATGGTGGGGACGGGGATGAGCACGAAGGCTTCAGAGATAGGAGGCCGCTGATGACATGGAGGATGTGCAGGAGGAGAAATCCCAGGTGACGTGCGATGGACGAGGATGATGGTGCCCCCTCTTCGATCTTCATTACCTCATCAGCACTGAAAATGTCATGATATCATGGAAGATACACAGGGCGGAATTCTGAAAGAGGAGGAGGACGAGGAGGAGGAGGAGGAGGAGGAGTAGGAGGAGGAGGAGTTCCCGTCCTGCTCGTTCTTCTCATCCCCCCGTCCTCTTCCGCGGCGTCCTGTCCCTCATATCTTCCTTCCTCTGCCCTCGTACTCCCTCCTCTCCCCGTCCCCCGTCTCCATCCCCGTTCCTTCTCTACCCCGTCATTGCACGTTCGCGTGGTCGATGGGATGAGGGGGAGGGTGGGGTAGGCGGATGGGGATGGTATGTGAGAAGGCGGCACTTCCGCATATACCAGGCGATCGCAAACATGGATCAAGTGGGCATGGATTAGCGACGGGTCCCGCCCTTTTCTATGGGAAATCGCCCGCCGCCGGACGAGACGGCACCAGCCGCATTTTGGGGGGGCGCGCCAAATCCATGGATCAATTAACCATGTTTGCGCGCCGCCGAGCATATACTTTGTTCTGCTCATCGCCATCCTCGTTTCATCCCCTCTTCCCGTCGACCCTCGTCCTCGTCGCGCATCTCCCGCTTTGTCGGGGGGACTGACTAGGCGGACGAGGCAGGGGGTTGGGGGGGATGATGACGAGCAACATGAATATTAGATCACTCGCTACGCGCTCCTGCTCTCCTTCCGAGGATGCAGGGGAGGAGGAGGACGACGACGGTGACGAAAATGATGCGGACGAAGGGGACGGTGGTGACGAGCACAGTCAATTGACTCTTGCATTCTCAAAATCGCCCTCCTTCTTGTCAGTATCCGTCCTCAACATCATCAGGCGTATTTGCTTATCCTTGGGGGACGGGGGAAAAGAAGAGAAGAGCCCAATGAAGATAATGAACAGGGAGGAGGGGTACGAGGAGGACGATGGTGGCGACGATGATGTAAACGCGAAGGGGAAGGCAAGGGGAAGAGGATAAGGACAAGGTGTGTGGGGGGAATGACTATCCAAACAGGAGTAATAGAGGGAGATGCCGATGTCCGAGGACATCACGAGGAGCATGGGGCGAAAGAGGAGGAGGACGTTGAGGAGGAGGAGGAGGCGGATGACAGCGAATGTGCGGGAGAGAGATGGGAGAGCAAACGCAGGGCGCGCCAGAGCACGACCCAGAGGAACACAAGCAAAACAAGACGGGAGTGAGGAAACACTACAACATTATGGCTCCCCGCGGTTGCCTTGCAACATAGTCCGCCTGCGACAGCTTTTCGAAATGATTTCTGTATGTGGCGGCCTTGCCGCAAAATTGTTGGCGGCATTACAACCGACTCCCTTTGTGGCTGCAGTACATCACGATTTCTTGCTGTGTTGGCGTTGGAAACACAATTCTTCTTTGCGGCGGCTTTATACATGTTTGATGGCGACTCGACCAGAAAGAATTGGTATTGCAGTGGTTTTGTAGTCGAATGCCTTTTGCAGTGGCCTTTACCAAACGATCTCTTGTTGGGTGGCCTTACCAAAGGATCTTCAAATAGGTTCTCCTTGTGGTGGCCTTGCAACGGGATTCTCCGTTGTGGTGGCTTCGCAACAGGATTTTTCAGGCGGCGTTCCAAAACGGATTCGGTATTGTGGCGGCGCTAGAAGCGTATTCTCATTGTGGCGGCCTTGCAACATGATTATTTCTGTGGCCGCCTTGTGAAAAAATGAATTCCCGTGGATGATAATGTTGCTTGCAATGGTTGGTGCCAAACATTTTCCTTGAGGCGGTCTTGCGCAACGTTTTTTTTGTTTTTGTACGGTGTCGGTTTTCTCGGCTTCATGAAGCATGTGCCAGTCTGTGTGGGTTTTCTAAAAGGATCTTTGTGGTGGTGTTACGGAAGCATTGTTTTGTGTGGATGCGGTACAGAAATATTCCTTCTGGGCTGGCCTTCTAATACGATATCCTTTTCTGGTGACGTTGTGAACGCATGTTCCCGTTCGGTGCCCTCGCAAAATAATTCGCAGTGTGGCGGCGTTACAGTATTTCTCTTTGTGGCGACCGTGCACAACTAGTTTTAGGTCATGGTGGCCTTGTATAGTAAGATGGTTTAGTTGCGGCGGCCTTTTCAACATGTTCCGTTTGTGGAGGCCTCATAACATAACATGTTTTTGTGAGGAGTTCTCACGGGAGTATTCCTGGTTGTGGCGACTTTATTGTAGCAGTTTGCGCCAGGATTACCTCTTGTGGCGTCCTTACGGTCGGATTATCTCGGTGGAGGTTTTGCAACACGAGTTTTTTTGTGTTGCCCTCCTCGCTGTTTCTTATGCCATGGGTACAATAGGAACCACGAAACGACATACAACACCAACACAGAAGAAATTCTAAATAAACTCATGACTTGGAGCGTAATGAAAACATGGCAAAGCATAGTGTTGACCTTCCTGTTACTGAACATGTGGTGGTTTACACGGTTCTTGGTTCTGGAACGTGCGACAAAAAAATGTTAAACATAGCGTTCTGGAGCTCCGACTGCTGAAAGCGTTTTGTTTTACAGCGCTTTGGCTCCAATTGCTGAGGGTTATGTTTATTGCTCCGGAGGTGCACTTGCGTTGGAGCTCCAATTGCTTTGGCTCAGCGGTGAGTTTTCACAGGCATGAATGACAACCTATATGTTTGGTGTTTTGAAAATGGTCTGTTTGGGTTTTCATGCTTGTCCGTCACAACAGGGAATCCTTGTATATGGCCACCACATGACATCCTCTTGCAAGGCCCGGCGTAACAGGGAATCTTCTTGTAGCCGGCATCGGAGGGAATCCTTTTGTAAGGCCTCATAACAATATTTTTGTACGACCGCCGCAAATCTATTCTTCTCGCGAGGCCGCCACACAAGGTAATCCTTTTGCAAGGCCGCCACAAAAGGAAGTACTTGTATAATGACGCCGCAATGGGAATATTGTGGAAGACCGCCATGAAGAGAATCCTGCAATTATCAAGGTCGCCACATAAATGTTGTTGTTGTAAGACCGCAGCGGGTATAATCTATGTGTAGGGAAGGCGCACAGAAAATCCTTGTGTAAATCCGTCGCCAAAAAACATCCTGTTGATAAGGCCGCCACAGAGAGAATCCTTTGGCACGACCGTTGCGCGGCGATTATAAGTGGAAGGCCACCACGATGAGGAGCAACGGCGGCGACAAGCGAAAATGAGTGGTGGAACACTCGTACGAGCACTTGCGTAGTTGTGGGCCCCTATTGTGGGCAAGATAATTTGAAACTTCATGATCCAGGGCACTTCGATACGACCCTTGCAGGGGGGGTGGGCGAAATGGCATGCAAGCCTTGAGATCCGACGGGGGAAGTTAACACCGCGATCAATTACCACTCACTGGAGATGAAGACCCCACCTTTATGATGGATTTGATTGTAGCTGGATCGATTTGTGATGGCCCAGTCCCGAATCTTGGCGAACACGCCCGTGGTAGAAAAATGCAATGCCCAGATCTCATGGAGTAAATTGCAAAACGTGTTTTCGTGATTTTGCTCACGACCCGAGGGGTTCCACCCCCTGGGGGCTTCTGTGGAGCTCCCCATGGAGACACGAAGCGTGTGAGAGGTGTGCAGAATGCGCCACGCGGAGCAGGGATCAGGAGGAGGCAAGAAGGGGAGGAGGAAGAAGGAGAACGCAGGCACTGTCTCATCGAAGCGAGGACCCATCACCACAGAGATCGTGGGGAAACGCGCCCTCAGATCTGACGCCGCCGCACAAACAAATCATCGCTACATCGCTACAAACAAAACATCGCTACATTCACAACGATCGGTCTGTGACGGTCCCGGGGCCCGAAGCCAGGCGAAAACGCCCTATGTGAGAGAAATGCAGCACCAGGATCTCGGGGCATGCGCTGGGTCTCGCCCAGCAGGGTTGCTGCTGTTCAGTGTGCGTCTGCACCCCAGGGGAGACGCGCGCGCGCTAAGAGATGTTTCAGGACAGTATGTGCTCGCTTTTGCTGGGTGCTCCTCATGGCCGTACCGCTCGGGAAACGATGTCGATCGCAAGGCGCTTCTCTTCTATATGTTTGGTCCGGGCGCGCCTCCCACATGGGCACAGTGTACCAGTATGCTCCCCATGCGTCCCAGGCCACACGGGGGGCCGCATATAGTGGAGACCCATGCCAAAAACAGACCCTGGGTTTCTTGGGCTTCGATGGTGTTGCTCCAGAGAGCGCGGCGTTCCCACGCCAGAAATCCATGGAGGATCTCGGGGTTGGGTCTCTTGTGGAAGGTTTCTCGTGGACGGGTTCCTACTGTATCGCCATCCTTTGTCGTCGTCTGCTCCTTCTCCTCCTCCTCCTCCTCCTCGTCCTCCTCCTCCACCTCCTGGCGTGCGCCTCCCACACGGGCACACTGCACCAGCGCGTTTCTCATGCGTCCCAGGCCGCACGAAAGGGCAGCACAGCTCCAAAGGGAGGAGGCAGAGGGGGGGGGAGAAGGAGGAGGAGGAGGAGGAGGAGGAGGAGGAGGAGGAGGAGGAGGAGGAGGAGGAGGAGGGCGGGAGGAGGAGGGAGGAGGAGGAGGAGGAGGAGGCGGGAGGAGGAGGAGGAGGAGGAGGCGGAGGAGGAGGAGGCGGGAGGAGGAGGAGTTGGAGGAGGAGAGGAGGAGGAGGATAGGATAGGAAACGGAGGAGGAGGAGGATAGGGGGGAGGAGGAGGAGGAGGAGGAGGAGGAGGAGGAGGAGGAGGAGGAGGAGGAGGAGGGGGAGGAGGAGGAGGAGGAGGGTGGAGGAGGAGGAGGAGGACCAGGGCCGCCCGCGGCCGCGCCGCCGCTGCGCCGCGCCGCCAGCGAGAGCGGATCCGATGCCCCCTGCAGGAGCCGGTCCTCCGGGGCGCCCGGCGGCGGCGTGCCCGTGCCGGAGGCGCGTGCCTCCCGCCCCGTTCGCCGGGGGTGGCATACTTCCCAGACCCCCTTCGAGTAATGAAAAAATCATGACGAGAGGTTTTTCGCTATTTTCATCCTCCAGGGGCCCTTACCGGCCCTCAGGACCGTCAAAAAACGACTCGGGATGAAAAACCGGTCCCGGGGAATGGGTCCGGACCTCTGGGGATCGCGTCATGAAAAAATCATGACGTCGGGGGTTTGGGTTTGTGTTTTCTTCGAAGAGAGAAAGGCATAACCGTAAACTTGTGGCGCTCCGCGCGGATTTCTTGGATCCTCGCCGGACCCCCCTCCCGGGCGCGCGGAGCGCGCCAGGGGCGGCGCCGGAGGCGCCGCCAGGGGGGCCCAGAGGCGAGCGATGTCTGGCCGCACCGCTCGGGAAGCGACGTACCACAAGATGGGTATCCTATATGTTCGGGCCGGACGCGCGCCGCCAAGGAGGACATACATCGCAGGTGGATAGACCTTCTGCCCTGACACGTCGATGAAGGAGTTGGCCGTTTTCGGTTCGCGAGAGGGCGTCGCGGCCGTCATTTGTGAGGGTCCAGGTCCGTCGGTGTCGGTCCCAGGCCGTTTTCGTTGAGGGGAGGTTTGCTAAAGGGAGGTTTGTCCACCGCCGACGTTCGCCTGGCCGAGAGCTCTCCATCGTAAGGCGATTCCAAACATGGATGAAGGGTGATGGGCCCGTTTTCCACCACCACCATGAGTTGGAGGGGGAGGGGGTCCTTCTCCTCCACCTCCTCCTTCTCCACCTCCTTCTCCTCCTCGTCCTGCACCTCCTTTTCCCCTCCAACTTATGGTGGTGGTGGTGGTAGTGGATAACAGGCCCATCAAAGGGGGCGTGGATTAGCGACGGGTCCCGTTTCCCTGGGAAATCGCGGATTTCCGCCGCCAAGCGAGGCGGCACCAGCCGCATCTGGGGGGATCCATGGATTTGGCGACCGCGCGCCAAATCCATGGATCGCTATTCTATGTTTGCGTTCCCGACTCTAGGCCTCCTGGATGGGGTCTGAGTAGATGGGATCGGAGGATCGCTCCGCTGCATCGTCGATGTATCGGCGATGCGTCGCGATCCTTCGACCCCATCTACTCCGACCATCAGGGAGACCAAGAGTCGGAGCTTTTTCGCCGTCCTGGGCGCCTGCCCCGCGGCGGCCGGACAGTTTCAGTTTGCAACCGGACGTTCCACCGTACAAAGGAGGCCAACGCCAAGAGACACTCTGCTCGACTCCAGGGTGCTCTGGGTTTCTTGGGTTTGACGGTCTCGCTGTGGAAGGCGTGACGTTCCCACACCAAAGATCCATGGACGCCCTGCGGTCTCAGGGTCGGGTGTCTTGTGGAAGGTTTCTTGTGGTCGGGCCTCCACTGTAGGCGTATAAGCTTTTCAGCCGCCCTGGGGCCATCGTCCCTGACGGCGGAGCAGTTTGTTCTATACCGCTCGTCGCCCACCAGATCAACAGGAGCATCCCGAGTTCCGCGCGGATCTCTCGGATCCGTGCTGTGGCCCCCCCCCCTGGCGACGGCGCCTCCAGCGCCGCCCCTGGCGCGCTCCACGCGTCAGGGAGGGGGTCCTGCGACGACCCAAGAAGTTCGCGCGGACCTCCGAGGAATGACGTTTATGCAGCTCTCTGTTTCTCTGCTTCTTGGGAGGACGAGGAGGAGGAGGAGGAGGAGGAGGAGGAGGAGGAGGAGGAGGAGGAGGAGGAGGAGGGGGGGAGGTTGAGGAGGAGGAGGACGAGGAGGAGAAGGAGGAGGAGGAGGAGGAGTCTCGGCCCCGACTGCTGCCACGGCGCCCACTGCCTGGGGCGGCCGCGCCGGCCTGCTCTGCGCGGAGCTGTTCCACGTCTGTGCGCTTTCCTCGCCCCATCCCCCCGCGCGGCCGCTCTCGTCTTGCTTCCTCCCTCTCGCACGCCGGATTATTCGCCTGTCGGTTGCCCCGAATAGCCACCCGCTGGAGCGGATTGCCTCAGCCTCGCCGCCGACGAAAAGAAACAAGCACACTGTGTCTATGTTCCCCCGCCCGCGTCGGGCCATGGCGGTGCCTCTAGCCTTATCAGGGGAGCGCAGGCTTGGATCCCAGATCCCCGACGATTCGAGATGTTCTACCAGCCTTAAGTCGGGCATGTCCCTCTACAGTAGGAATGTTCAATCATAGGCAAACAACAGTCTGGGAGTTTTTTTTATTACAGGGAGCTATTCCAAATTGTTCTGTCAAAAACCGCCTGTCGGAGGATATACCCGACCCAACACCAGCGGCTCTTCCCCGATTTGGGCATCCGGGGCTGGTTATCGGCCCAGGGGGAATCAAGAGGGACCTGGGGGGAAACACTGGCTAAGGTGAGGGAGTTTTTCGACCCAGGCATGTCCGCGTCGTGTGAAAACACGACGTGAGTTTTTGTCGCTGTCTTCGACGTCCGGGCCTCTCGCGTGGCCCCGGGAGTGTCACAAGACGACCCGGGAGGAACAGCCCGTCGCAGGGAGGGGGTCCAGACCTCGCGGGGTCCGCGCTGTGGACACAGTCGCGACGTCCGAGCTCTGGGAAGCGCAGATCTGAGGGCGCGTGGGTTAGCGACGGGCCCCGCTTCCATGCGCAGTCGACGCGCTGCGTCGCCAAGTCGGGCGGCACGGGCCGCACGCTTCGGGGGCATCCCTGGATCCGGCGCCCGCGCGGCAGATCCATGGGCCTGTAAGAGGACATGCCCGACCTCGTGCTAGCGTGTGCCTGGACCTGGCACCCTCTCTCCTTGCGTCACAGGATGCAGCTCCTGGGAATTCGTTGGCAAATCATGGGAGCCTGGCGTGCCCTGTGGATTCCGCTTTTAGCGTCGATGAGCGTCGGTTAGCGCCTGGGAGTCGATGAGATAGCGTTGATGTAGAGTCGGCTAGCGTCGACGTAGCGTCGATCTCGCGTCGATTAGCGTCGATTTAGCGTCGAGTTAGCGCCGAGCAGCGTCGATTTGCAAGAGCCGACAAGTTGGTATGGGGGGCCCCCGTGAGTTGCCACCTTGTAGTGTCACGGGGTGCAACTCTTGGGATGCTTGGATATCCGTGATCTAAAACCGGCCCAATCAGGCCTAGTCCCGTTGGATTCCGTTTTCATTTCGTCGACCGAGAGTGCAAGGTTGTGTTCTGAATTCTAGAGTCCAGAGTTTTTGATTAATCGCTTCGCTCATTCCGCCGGGCCTGGAGCGCTATTTGGGGCCTCGTAGGGCCGTTTTGGGGGCTTCTTGGGGGCTTCTTGGGAGCGTCTTGGGGCTCCTTGGCGGCGTATTGGGCTCCCCCATGGGGGGGCCTCTTGGGGGGCTCTTGGGGGCCCCTTGGGGCTGGAGGGGGGGTAGTCGTTGGCCCCCCCCCCCCTCGGAGGCCACGATCCTCGTGAGGGGTGGCGAAAAATAGCCTCCCCCCTGGGGATCGCCCGGGGATCAGCCGGGGATCGGCCGGGGTACTTTTCGTCCAGGGCCCCCCAGGGGCCGCCCCGCGCGCGCGAACTAGAAATATTGTTAAGTAGTTACCGGAAATCTTAGCACGCCTCTGGCCCGTTGGGCCGGCGAATTTTCGCGGCTCGTTGGTTGGTTGAGTTCGTCCTCCCTCACTGGCTCAGCCCCGTGCACCTCGAGTCCTTGCCTCCGCACAGGTCCCCCCCCCAGGTCCGCGGAGCGTTTGCTCTTTTTTCGTGGCTAGTATGATGGGTGACCGGGTGTTTGGTTGGCTGTGTTCGCCCTCCCTCTTTGGTTCAGCCCAGATTTTTCGAGGTTCGATTGTTGGTTGGTTGGTTGGTTGGTTGGTTGGTTGCATTCGTCCTCCCTCCCTGGCTCACCGCCGTGTACCCCGAGTCCTTGCCGCCGCACGTGTCTTCCCCCAGTCCTTCGGAGCCCTTGATTTTCATCGCTCGTCTGTTGGCTGGTTGGTTGGTTGGGTGGTTTGTTGGTTGTGTTCGTCCTCTCTGCCTGGCTCAGCCCCGTGCGCCCCGAGTCCTTGCCCCCGCACAGGTCCTCCCTAACGCCCTCCGTGCCCTTGATTTTCGTGGCTCAGTTGTTGGTTGGTTGGCTGGGTGGTTGGTTGGTTGGTTGGTTGGTTGGTTGGTTGGTTGGTTGGTTGGTTGGTTTGTCGGTTAGTTGCTTCGTTGTTTGATTGGTTAGGTGGTTTGTTGGTTTGTTTGGTGGTATGTTGGTCGTGGTCGTCCTCCTTCCCTGGCTCAGCCCCGTAGGCCCCGAGATTTTGCCTCCGCACAGGTCCTCCCCCAGGCCTTCGTGGCCCTGGAGTTGTCGTCGCTCGTTTGTTGGTTCGTTGGTTGGTTCGTTGGTCGTGATCGTCCTCCCTTCCTGGCTCAGCCCCGTAGGCCCCGAGTTCTTGCTTTCGCACAGGTCCTCCCCAAGGCCTTCGTGGCCCTTGAGTTGTCGTGGCTTGTTTGTTGGGTGGTTGGTTAGTTGGTTTGTTGGTCGTGTTCGTCCTCCCTCCCTGGCTCAGCCCCGTAGGCCCCGAGTTCTTGCTTTCGCACAGGTCCTCCCCCAGGCCTTCGTGGCCCTTGAGTTGTCGTCGCTCGTCTATTGGGTGGTTGGTTGGTTGGTTTGTTGGTCGTGTTCGTCCTCCCTCCCTGGCTCAGCCCCGTAGGCCCCGAGTCCTTGCCTCCGCACAGGTCCTCCCCCAGGCCTTCGTGGCCCTTGAGTTGTCGTGGTTCGTTTGTTGGCTGGTTGGTGAGTTGGTTTGTTGGTCGTGGTCGTCCTTTTTCCCTGGCTCAGCCCCGTACGCCCAGGGGCCCGAGTCCTTGCCTGCGCACAGGCCCTCCCCTAGGCACTCCGCGACCTCGCTTTTTAGTCGCTCTGTGCTTGGGTGGTTGGGTGGCTTTCTGATTGTGGTCGTCCTTCCCGACCTAGCTCGGCCCCGTGCACCCCGAGGTCCTTGCCTCCGCACACGGCCCTCCCCCGGCGCTCTGTGTCCTTGATTTGCCGTGGCTTTTTTGTTGGGTGGTTGGTTGGTTGC